AATCAAACAAGAATAGAGGGATGCCTGATACTGTGTGGCTATCTCACATCTGAAAGCCTAGTCTTTAATCTTGTCCTTAATTTCAGAAAAAAACAGTGATTTTAAAGAAAACTCCCAGAGGCACAAAGATAGAACATAAAACAAAATATTTCCCCTTGGAGAAGAATTCCATAAAGCAAAAAACAGTAACATAAAGTCGCCTGAGACTTAGAAAAGTTTGAATAATCAGAATTTGAAGGATAAAACCCAAATGTACTCATTCACATATTTGGGAGGGGGGGCTTCAAAATAAAATACTGAAATTAAAAGATGGTTACTTTCTTAAAAACAAGACTACGTGAAACATTGAGAATCTTCATCACTTCTCATTGAAGGAGCTCCTGAGCTGTGCTCAGAGGCCCTGGGGTCACTCCTGGGGCGCATCAGCCTCCTGATACTTCACTGCTTGGTCCAGGCAAGAGGTACTTCTGGGACCCAGCAGGGCTAAGGGGCACTCACACCACCTCAGCGGTGCCTGGGGGTCATTAGGGCTACACCCAGCAGTGCTGAGTGTGTAGAGGGTGACTGCTTCAGCCTTTTGAGCTATCTCGCTGACCCCAAATCAGAATATTCGTAGAATGAAACACAAACAACTTTAATATCAAAGTCATACCTTTATTTTTACTAATAAACTGGGTATTTTTAATTCTTTTGTCTTTGAACAGGAAACTGGTACCACTGTAGAGCAAACTCAATGGTACCAAGTCCATCTATTCACTATAAATAAGTATATATACAACCAAAGACAGCACTAGCAATATCAGGCTTACATCAGTCACCCAAAGGGGACTACCCGAAGCATCAATTAAGAAAGTCAAATGAGGAGCGTTGCCAGGGCAGGGGACCATGGCAGAAAGAGCACCGATTTTCACTGGAAAGTACACCAAAGGATGAATTTTCAATTAACCTTTGAGTATCACTTTGTACTCTGCACTGCCCTAGGTCTACAAGAGACACAAAGGTAATAGGATACATATATTAATGCTTTATCTCCCCAATCAAGATAAGGCATCCACAAACATTTAGAGAACAAGACAGGTGTCTACCTGTGACCTGAAATAAATCCTATAAGAATTCAGAGAGAACAGCAAAGAACAATGAAAGGAATTAAGAGGCAGTAATCATATAAACAGATTCAGATTAGCACTTCTTCAAATTATCTCCATTTAAAGGAATTTCAATTCCAGATTAATTAACTACAAACATAAGAGTCACTTCCCTCTGCTTCCTCAACTATATAGTGATAGATTCAAAGCGGGATTGTCGATCACAGTCTAAAGACCAAAATGGACTTTAGAGGCTAGAAGAGTGATTAATTCTGAAAAAAAAAAAGCTGGAAGAACTGCATAAACACTCAGAACGGATATGTGGGACATTGGCGTAAGAACAGTAGAATATTTCTGTTGGAGTAGATCTAGCAAAGTAATTCTGAGCCAGACTATTAGAATCCCAACTAAAGAACAGAACTTGCCTCTGTGTCAGTCAATATATCCCCTGTTAAAATTTCCAAGCTATATGTACCTCTCTAAACTACAGAGCCAACAATACTTAAAGTACAAAATCTAAACTGAAGTAGCAGAACTTAAAAATGTCCCTGCCAAGGAGGCAGGTTGAGGGATGGGAGGGCACTGGGGATACAGCAGCAGAGAGAAGCTGACATTGGTGATGGGACTGGTGTTGGAACACAGCATGCCTGAAATTTAGCTAAGAATAACTATGTAAATCATGGTGCCTTGATCTAATAAAATTTTTAAATGTTTTTCAATTTAAAGTGAAATTATATCTCTGCCGAACTATATATACAGGCTGGGGTTGCCTTGCAAGCAGACAGCGCAGGTTCAAATCCCCACACCTCATATGGTCCCCCAAACGCCACCAGGAGTTATCCCAGAGTGCAGAGCCAGGAGTAAGCCCTGAGAACCACCAGCTACAGCCCGGAAACAAACCAAAAAACAAAACAAAAACAAAAAAAAGAAAGAATAATGCAAAGTAAAACCCACAATATATAGAGACAGCCACAAACTTTTAAAAATAATACACTGACAAACTTAAGAGATGTAGTAATTAGGCACAGCCAGTAACTGCTAGGAATTGCCAACAGTGCGGCTGTCATCAGAGATGACAGTTTGATTTAGCAAAAGAATAATACAGGACACAGTGGAGGGTAGGTCCCACTCCAAGAATCACCTAGGAAGGAGCAGACACTTTCACTAAACACACTGACAGACACACAACTTTTACATTGGCCTTGGTTACAGTCACAAAGTAGGAAGTAATCCCAGGCTCGGGATAAAAAGGGAAAGTTACATTTGATGATGCTAAAAATAAGTCCCCCCTTTATTTCTATTTACCGAGTTAAATAGTATTTTAACTGGGTAGAAGCTTTGGGAAAGAGCTGTATCTCCCAAACCATATTGACCAGTTAGCTAGATTACTGTATTGCCTGGGACTCATCTTCCAAACTGGGGGTGGGAATGTGGGGAGAATGGATTTCAAAAACATGTCTCAAGCAAAAACAACCAGTACTGCAATCAGTTCTGGTCCTCTGACTATAATTTACCAGACCTACTATAGCCAAACAACAAAAGTGGCACAGGCTGGACTTGTGATGGTGTCCAGCGCAGAGTGCCATCTGCTGCATAGACAAAGGATGTCTCCTACGCAGGATTCAACCCCAGGGTCTCTCAGGAACCTTAGTAAGTGCGAGCTATTGGCTCCTGTGCTTGCCTGATGCATGCGCCTTGAATCAACATTTACTTATAGGAGAATTCCTGAAATCCAATGGGGTTTTAGAACCAACTGTTTTCTAACAGACAATATATTGTGTGTTTGGGGGGGGGGGGGGGGGAGTGAGGTGCAATTGTATCTGAAAATAAAAAGAACACAGGAAAGGGATGAGGATAATTGGAAACAAACATTTGCACATTAGCTGTGTAATCTTGGGCCAATCTCTTCGCCTTTCTAGGCCTCTCACTTTCAAATATAAAAAACATTTCAAGTTAAACAAATCTCTAAGAGATACTGCGCAAATTGAGTCTTGAGAGAAATCATGGAATAACAGATGGAAACAGCTGTATACTTTATGACTTCAGAGCAATCAGTGGGGAAAAGAGAGAAACCTGCTTACATATTTTAAATAATCAGGTTCCATTTTTTTTCCCAAATCTTACAATTCTAAGTTCATTTACAAGTCCCTGTTCCCATGATAACACTTCTGCCCTTCTGAAATAACACTTCATTTGAATTGTGCTTTCAGCTACAAATTCAGCACTTCACTTGTGCACACCCCAGAATAGCACAGAAGAACACGCCCATGAAGTACCCACACAAGGAGAACACGGTCTGACAGAGTCATGTAGTGGAAAATCTACAAGGCACACATTTTTAATGAACACTACACCAAAACAGTCTTCAGAATACAGAGATAAAGACAACCTGGGAACCCTGTAAATAGTTAGCAGGAGCCTGGAACGCAGTCAGATTTGAGGGTGGTCTTGTGTTTTTAAAGAGAACAGAACACAGAAGTAGAGGCTATGAAACATTCAAATCTAAACTGAACTGTGGGAAAGCTCGGCTCTCACCCAAAAGCTTCAGCAAAGCAATATGTCAGTATGCCAGACATGAGCAGTACAATTTTCTCCCGGGAACGAGGAGAGGGTCCACCAGGCCATCTTGCCTTTGTAGATCGTTCATTCTTTTCACAGTTCCTTCCGAGATTTAATTTCATGCTATCATGGGTATGAGGTTATCCTGTCTGAAAAGCTTCCAGCTCAGTTTCCTCTAGTGAGCTATGTGATCAGATCAAGACAGGTGGATTTATTTGCTGGTGGCTGGAGGGACGGGTTTCTCCAATCAGTCTCTGCAGTGATTCTCATGACCACACTACACAACTTGGCCGAACGAAGAAAGAGTTGGCCAGACAACACATCTGGGTCTAGAAAAGCTAAGGGAAGAAAACCCGCTGCCCTGTTAGGTCAAGAACTCCATGCCAAATCCACCGCTTGCAACTGGAAAAGAGAAAATCTACACAGACACACACACACACGCACTCGCACATACACGCGCATGCACGCACATACACGCGCATGCACACACGCATGCACACACACACACACACACACACACACACACACACACACACGCTGTGCAAACAGAGAAACTCTCTTTCATCGCCAGCCAATGGGAGCCAGTAACAACTGGTTAATCCGCGAACACCACATCCCAGCCTCTGCGAACTTGTCCTATTCGGTTCCTCCCTGCCCGCTGCCCACCCTCCTGCCACCGGGTACGCGAGAACAAGCCTAGAAATGCGCCTTCCAGAGCGGGCGAGCACCGGGGGAGCACGGGGCTGCTCTCCGCGAGCAATGCAGCATCCCGAGCCAGAGGGGGACCCCCGGGCCGCCGGCGCAGGAAGGAGCCCGGCGGACGAGAAAGTTTGGCTCTCCGTCCAGCCGGGTCCCGGCGGGACGCGGGGGTCCGGGGCCGCACCCGGGGGCCAGGTCCGGCCGCGTGGCCGCTGCCCCGCTCCGGACACAGCTGCCGGGCAGCCGCCGCGACTCCCGCGGCCCGAGGGAGGCGGGGGGAGGCAGGGGCACGACTGGCCCCGGCGGGGCAGCGCCGCGGGGGTCGGCGGAGGGGCCGAGCCGCGGGCGGGGACGCGGCGGGGGCGGGTCAGCCAGGGTTCCAGCCGCGTCCCTTCCCCGCCCCGGTGTCCCCGGTCCTGCGGGAACATCCCCGCCGTCGCCCCTCCTCCTCCGCCCCTCCCCGCGCCGCCGCCGCCCGCCCGCCCGCCGCCGCAGGCGCCTGAAGGGCACGGCGGCTCCGGGGCGCGGGCAGCGCGGGCCGCGGCCGGACTTGGGGGAAGTGGCCGCTGCCCTGCCCGGCCTGCCCGCCCGCCCGCCCGCGGCTCCGCACGCCCGCGCCGCCCCGCCCTCCCCGCGCCGCCCGGCGCGCTCGCTCACCGTCCGGTGGTGCTGCTGCTGCCGGCGGCGGCCGACGCCCAGCCCGGGGAAGCAGCCGGCGCCGAGCGCCCCGCAGCCGCCGGCCGCCCCGCCGCCGCCCCGCGCGCACAGCAGCAGCAGGAGCGATCTACCTGCGGCGGCCGCCATCTCTCTACTGGAAACGGCGCCCAGCCCGGCAGCGCGGCGGACGGCGGGGGCGGGGCCGCGGCCCGCCACTCAGCGGCGCCCCGCCAACCGCGGCCCGCGGCCGCGCGGCCGAGGCGGGGCTTCGCCGCAGGGCCAATGGGCGGGCGGGAGCACCCCGCGGGAGGCCGCCTGTCGCGCCCGGAGTTGCCTCCGGTGGGACCCGGTCAATTACGGGCAAATTCTCGGCGGCGGGCGGTGGGCACGGGAGCCCCGGAATCGCGGCGGTCCAGAGGGCGTGTTCCGTCCGGCTCATCTTCATCTTCATCTTCATCGGAGAAGCTCCGATCAGCGAGGGGAGACGGGTGTCCGAGCAGAGCCTCGTACTCCGCGAGTGTTCTAAGTTGACAAGATCGGCTCCAAATTCATACATTGCTAAGCAGGTCTCCTGGAACTCCCAACGAAGTGCCCGGCGTTGTCGTTCACGGCGAATGGTATTCGTGTATATTAAAATGCCTCCTATGTCTTGGGCTGCTCTGATATGTAGCATGATCTAGGGCAGGTGTGATGATTAGGATGTGGAAGTCCCAGAACATGCCATCAGAGCGAATAATCAACCTGCATACGCTCCACACGCTCAGTTCATGTTTAGAGCTTCCTTACACTGATATTTTTATACTTTCCAGAAGCAATGCTGTTTTCCATCTTTGCTCTTGTGTGACTTATTAAGCTATAAAAACAGAACAGTTTGCAGTGAAATAAAAAATAATGTAGAGGTCATAATTTTAATGAATTTTCACAATTCAGCAAAGCGAGCCAAAAGAGTACATTTTGAAATAACTCTTCACCACTTTCTCTCGGAAAAAATATTCTTTCCACAAGAAATCAGCTCTAGTGGGCTGGAGCAATAGCATAGCCAGTGGGGCATTTGCCTTGCACACTGTCGACCTGGGTTCAGTTCCCAGCATCCCATATGGTGGCCCGAGCACCGCCAGGAGTAATTCCTGAGTGCATGAGCCAGGAATAACCCCTGTGCATCGCCAGGTGTGACCCAAAAAAGCCAAAAAAAAAAAAAAAGAAGAAGAAAAGAAAAGAAATCCGCTCTAATGAGAGCTTATTGAAGATTATTAACGAAGAAGAGTTGAAATCTCTAAGTTTCCCAGGAAGAGGGTTTCCTTGCTGTCAGTTTATTAAAGTCAACATTCCTGGCCAGAGCTAGCACCTTGGGCAGGGCATTTGCCTTGCGTGCAGCTGATGATCATTCCCGCAAGCCCTGCCAGGAGTGATCCCTGAGCATAGAGCCAGGAGTAAGCCCTGAGCACCACTGGGTGTGACATCAGAACCAAAAATAAAGTCAATTTTGTGCATGTTAGTCTGCAAATTTGAACCAACACTGTCTCAAAGGCTGAGTGTGATTCTGACAGCAGCACTGTCCTTGGACCCCCAGTGCCACAAGGATGGGGTCTTTGACTCAGAAACCCCATGAGTGGGAGCATTACCACCACATGCATGGGCTAGCTCATCACAACAGAGAGAAGGAAGGGGGAGAATTTTTTTTTTAATTTTAACTTGGTGGGGGAAATGGTAATTTTATGCTGGGCTGGCCACATCCAGTGATGTTCAGGGGTTATTCCTGGCGCTACACTCAGAAATTTCTCCTGGCAGTGCTCAGGGGACAACAGAGGGTACCAGGAATAGAACTTGAATGGGCCACGTGCAAGGCAAACATCCCAATGGCTGTAAGATAGCTCCAGCTTCTATTATGCTAAATTTTGTAACATATCCTTGTAGTGTAGCTTAGTTCAACTTAAAGGAAAATAGATTAAGTAGTAGGCCACAGACATAGCATTTGTGAGGTCAAGTTTGATGGCTGGGACCAGCTGCCATCCATCCCCCACTGCCCAGTATAGACTTCATGACCCTTGAGCACCACCTGGCATCAGCACCACAGTGCTGAGACAGGCACCAGAAGCATCTCCAGTGGCCACAATTTTTTTAAAGTTAAAAACAAAAACAATGTTACTGTATCACTTGTTACAATATTGCTTTAATTTCCTCTCCTGTGTTCCTGTGTGAGATTGTCAAGCACAGGGTTCTCACCTAGTTCCCACACCCCTTTCTTGCTGGGGATCACAGCAGCGGAGCCACTGGAAATCTCACTCTGACATGTGGCACATTCCTGGGGAATCGAACTCAGATCCTCACACCTGGGTTCTTTCACTAAATCAACTTCTGGCCCTAATAATGTTCTTTAAAGTTTGGTGAAGCTCTTCTTGGCCCAGAATAGCTGAACAATGAAGTGGAGTGTTTGAGTTATTTAATCTTTCCACTCCACCCCAGAACAGGAAGAGGGCTGGCTTCCCTGGGTGAGATATCATTGATGCTGGTCACCAGAGACATGCATTTCCCAGAAGAGGAACCTGAGATGTCAAGAATGAAGAGTCCCCCATTCAACAGCTGCACACACTGATCTCTAGTCAAAAACCCATGAACATTCTTGGAGTAACTTCCCTACCAATCATGTTCCAACCATCTATATTTATCCCATAGCATTTCACGTATTTCTCCATGCCATCTCTCTTTCTCCTTTGTCCCTTCACAGCTTCTTACTAGATGACAGTGGATTTTAATTTCGTTTTTACTTTCTGTGCCTTCGCCAAGTCTTGCTAAGAATCGCAATAGTGTCTTTCATCCCCACCTTACACTTTGAGTTTCATTTGAGTCACCTTTCCCACATTTTTTAAATTATGAAAATTAGCTGTGCACCCTGCAGTTGTAAGATTTCATTTTGTCCATTTGCACAAAAGCACAATAAAATCTTTGCTTGGAATTTGTTTTGTTTCTTTTCTCACCTCCAAGCAGTGCTCAGAGGGGCCCGGCGGGGTGGAGATACTCAGCTTAGCTTGGAGGATCTGATATTCCCGTCCTTGGGCCTGATCACTGGAGCTGCTCCAGCCCCTGGAGCCATACAAGCAGTAGCACAGAGCTTCACACATGCAAGGCAAGCGTTTTTACTGCTGAGCTGCATCTCCAGGGCCTCTAGCCCTAGTCATTTAAGTACATAAACATGTAACTGGGGAGATTACCAAAGGTTTTCAGCTTGTATTTTTTTTTCTTTTTGGGTCACACCTGGCAATGCACAGGGGTCACTCCTGGCTCATGCACTCAGGAATTACTCCTTGCGGTGCTTGGGGGACCATATGGGATGCTGGGAATCGAACCCAGGTCAGCCGCGTGCAGGGCAAACACCCTACCCACTGTGCTATCGCTCCAGCCCCTCATCTTGTTTTTCTTTTGTTTTTTTTTTTTACCAAAATCTGTCAAATTCTTTAACAAGATTGGTAAAGAATTGGTGCATAGGCTATGTGATTTGAGACTCCATCGACTAAAACTGAGTTCCAATAATTCAATTAATTTGTACCAATGTCATTTATCCCCTCACAGAAAAAAAAAACTTTCCCCTAGATAAAGGACATATCTTACATCAGTTGGTTCTTAGTACCCAAGAAGAAAGTGCAGCTAGAACAACAAAAATCATCTTTGGGCTTGAAGCAATAGTACAGTGGGGAGGGTATGCCTATGCCCCCCCACCCCGCCCCGAGGAGTGATCCCTGAGCACAGTCAGGAGCAAGCCCTCAGCACTGCTGAGTATTACCCAAAAACCAAAAGCAGAAGAAACGAAAATCAACTTTAACCCAATATATATATATATATATATATATATATAATTCTGAACATATATGTATATGTATATGTATATATATATGTATAAACACACCAGCACTTTGGAATACTTCATGTCACACTAAACAGAGACAGAGAGAGGAAAGAGATGAAATAATTATTCATTGAATACCTGCTATCCCGGACTGTGCTGATCACTCTACAGATTTCACATTAAAGCATGGTAAAGTAACTAAAGTGAAAAAAAATTTTTTTATATTGTAACTTTTAAGAAGCAGAGAGGCATTAAATAGGGTGTTAATACACATGACCAACTCCATTTCAGCCCCCAGTACCACATGGTCCCCGAAGCATCATTGTTACAGCCCTAGAAGGCCCTGCACAGCACCACTGGGTGTGACCCTGGAGGAATTCCAGGTCCCCCTGGGGTGGTCTAGGAAGCTGACATCCTCTGGCCTTCCCACTCAACCACTGTCCTTGTTAGGGGAGAATCCCAGACAGTGGCCCAAGGCCCTCTGAGAACCACTTGGGAGGAACAAAAATTAAAATTAAATAAGAACTTGTCACTTTTAAGAAAAAAATGTTAGGAAAAAACCGAAATGAATCCTTAGGGAGTTGATTAAATTAAAGATTAACCCCATAACAATATTATTCAACTACTAAAAACTAATGATACCATCTACACTTTTTTAAAAAAGAAAGAAAGAAAAAGAATACAGAACTGGGGATTTATCTCAGCAGTAGAGCCTTTGTCTTCCAAGTGTGAGGCCCTAGGTTAAACTGCCCATTTGTCAAAAATGATCACGCATCTCTCTGAATGGCAGTAATAATGAATGAAACGTGCAGAAAAATAAAGCACAGTGTAATGGTACTGCAATATAAAAATTGTTCCTTTAAAAGTTATAGATATAAAATACATAAATTTATATATACAGCTGGGCTGAAGCGATAGCACAGTGGTAGGGCATTTGCCTTGCGTGAAGCCAGCCCAGCTGAGCTGGGTTCGATTCCTCCGCCTTTCTCGGAGAGCCGGGCAAGCTACCGAGAGGATCTCGCCCGCAGGGCAAAGCCTGGCAAGTGATGTAGTCAATATGCCAAACACAGTTACAAGTCTCAAAATGGAGACGTTACTGGGCCCACTCGAGCAAATTGATGAAAACAGGAGAACAGTGTTTGTTTGTTTGTATATACAGCTATATATGACATAGAAAACATAAACATGTATATATATAAGACCATGAATTCTGAAAAAAATAAGAAAATATGTTGCCTCTGGAAAGTTTTTTGTTTTGGTGGGGGCAAGCAGGAGGAGTGTTGGGTACATACCTGGTGTGTTCAGGGCTTAGTCCTTAGTCCTGGCTCTG